AAAAAAACACCAATTAATGTATCCTTATCACTTTCCCACCCTTTCTCCATGACCAAGAATCAGCTGGAGATTTAGGCAATGGAGGCAGGAACAATGCCTTCCTGCAAAGCCCGAACGGCCATCCTTCGCAACCCACGAGCTCCATAATAATCGACCTCCGATCACCCGATAAAAAATCGTTATTCTCAATCCTACTCAAACTCGAGCATCTTGAAAAACACGTTCTAGCCGAGCAAAACGCATCAAAGCTCGTGTCACTCGAGCAACGTGAAAGTCGGCTATTGGCCGACCGAAACTCATCCCCATTGACTTCAACTAAATTGTTAGCATTGTAATTTTCAAAAAATGATTTTGGGGTTGTTTTGAAATAATCCCCTGCCTCTGGAGACAGAGCCCACTTGAAGCTTTCTATGCCAACGCCCGATTTTCGCTTGCTTTTCGACTCCATGTACTTGCTTATGATAGCCGAGACGAATATCTGTCGCGAACAAAGTTTAAGAAAATTGGATTAATCGAAAAACATGTAATTTAGTCTATAATTTATATTCCCTCCTATTCTTTTTAAATGTCATTTTGGTTTCGTGAACCATTAACCAAATAAATGACGACGTTTTGGATATTTTATACATATTTTTCCATAATTATCCTCATTTAGCTAATAAATACACTACGTCTTTTCATTAAATAGGGTTATTATTGGCAAAAAATAAAAAAAGATTCTTAATTATTGTGCAACTTATCAATTAAACGACACATGTTATGAACAAGAGGGAGTATTAAATATTGGACGATTGAGCGTGAGAAAGCAATACAAACTTATAGTAGAGTGAGTCGGGAGGGTATTGTGGCAATTTTTACCTCGTCTTCGTCGAGATTGGTTGCGCAATCTTCAGACTCAAGAGTCGAGTCGGCTACTTCCGTGCAGCGAAAAGAATGGCATTTGGTGAATGCATCTTTGAGTAAGGAGGCAAGGCATTTGCATTTCTTGGAGGGATTTGAAGGCTCTTCTTGGTAGAAAATGCTCATTGTCTTTGGTGGGTGTGAGTGAAATTTTTGTTAATAGTATGTAGTGTGAGGACTAAGGAGATTATATATGGGCAATGTGACTTAGTATAAGTTGTATCTTTTAAGGTGAGTTTCATTTGAAATACACTTTTTTTGTTTAATTGACAATTGCCTCTCATCTTATCCCATATTGTTTTGATGCTTTTGTCTTTGGGGTGAAGATTAAGTTAGAGGCGAAGGAAACAAATTTTACCTAGATGAGATTGTGTATTTTCATTCGTTGATGTTGATTTTCCTTGGCCTTAAAATTCCTACACAAGAAAAAAAAAATTAAAATTAAAATTAAAATTAAAATTAAAAAATTAAAGGTAAATGTATTAATTACTAGGACAAGCCACCTAACATAGCCAAAGGTAAATTTTCGAAAATGATGCTACATCTAATTCAAGTACAAAATTAAGGATTCTATGACTATCAGAGTAAGTTTTATTTCTCACAAGTTCGTCTATATCATATTGATCTGGACATTAGCCATTAGCCCATTACAATTTTTCTTTTTTTTTTTTAATCGGTAAAAGCATCCTACATCTTAATTCAATTCAAAACCACCCTNATATTTTTCATTCACTATAAATAAAAATCACAATCGATAGGTTTTGAAATACTATTGTAATTTCTAAAAAAATAAAAAATAAAATAAATATGATAAATTGTGTCGAGTTGGAGATAAAAATAATTTGAGTTTAAAGGTTGGATTGTATATGTAGAGGAGAGAAAAATAATTTTTAATTACTTCGGGTGGGGGTTAAGTTGAGATTTTTTTACTTTTTTTTTTTATGAAGCAACCTTAGAAGGTGGACCTACCATACTTTTCAAAAAATAACGCACACTTGTATAGAAAAATATTACATTTTATTTGTGCCATTATTTTTCAAGGTAAATCACTCATACTGAAAATTTTTAGATTTTATTTATGTTAATCTTTTAAAATAAATTACTTTGTATATGTAAGTATGTGGATTTACTAAAAAGTACAATTGTTTGTAGGCCTGAGCCCTGAGGCATAAATAAAAGACTTGAGGACTTACATGTTCATCATTCTTCAAATATATTATGACAGTCAAACAATGAAAAGAGACTTGGTCTAGCATTATAATGGGACTGCCTTGATTAAATCAAACAAAATAATATATAATTGAGACTTGTACCAATTCAAAATAAGTTTATTTTTGCCTCTTTAAAATTTATTCACAAAAGTCAGCTTTTAGCAATTGTATCCATGATGCCCTCTCTCCTCATTCTCAGCTTACTAATGGTACACAAGGTAATGGGCCCGTTTGTTTTTCAGCGTTTTCTTCTTAAAACAGCTTTTCCACAGTTTTAGCTTTTTGACTTTTCAGATCCGCTAAAATAAATCGTTTGGCAAACAGCTTTTAAACACAGCTTTTTTGTTCCATCCGCTAAACTAAAAAATGCTGCAATTCGTAGCGTTTGAGTTTAGCTGATCAAAATCAAAATACAAAAAAGTCTCAATTGCCCACAGCCCACTCCGTTCTCGGCCCCTTCCATTTTTCTTTCCCGTTTCCAAAACAAATTCTCTCCCCCAAAAAAATCATCTTCTCTGTCGGAGTTGTACCCTTCTGGTTGCTCTTCACCGTCAGGACCACCGCCTCCGCCACCACATCCGACTCTTCCGCCGGCGCATCCCACTCTCTTGTCGAGAGCGAACGCCCTTCACACAGAGGTACTCTCTCTCTCTTTCTCTCTTTCTCTCTCTCACTCTCTCTCTCTGTACATCATCAATTTGAAAAGGATTCAAGGTGCAAACATAAACATAGGTTGATAATTGGGATTGGAGTGTAATCAAAATAACTGATAGTTCTAAATCTTAAATTTAGGGTTCATATTGACAATAAAGAAGCCGATTGTTATTGATTTGGAGACTAAGGACAATATTTCTATTAGCTTGCCTAGAATTTGGATTATAAAGTTGCAAATATCACTTTTGCAGTCAGATTTTTCATACTTTTTTTTTCTTGGTTTTTATTTTTGTTTAGCAAATTTTTGGTCATTTTTCATTGTTTTTTTACACGTTTAGTCCCCATGCTGCAATGAAGAGACTAAAATATATATGTAAGGAGATAACTAATTGTTATACATTTTTTGCAACTTTCAATATTGTTGTGTGGTTTTGATTAACTATTGTTATTTCTGTCTTGGTGGTTATGTGAGCAACCATGATGTTCGATTTTGTTTATATGATGTTAATATATTGTTTTCCCTAGTGACTTATTAGTTTTCAACTTGATTAAACTTAAGAGCTTAATTGTGTGTTTGGAGTTGTTAACATACAGTAGCTTATTGAAAATAGTGAGAATTTCTCATTGGGTATACATGTCATTGTTGTGGATGATAACTCAATTTGCTTGATGCTTTTGGATACTCTGCCTATGAAATGCCAATAACATGGTGTTTTTCCTCTTCTGCAACTTTTTATCTAATATATGCTTTTAGATACTCCTTTTTTCTTTTCATTCTTTTTCATTTTAGTAAACTGTTTTAAGATATCCTGCAAGTGACTTTTTTTTTCTTTAAGACTTCTATTCCCCTAGTTTTATTTTCGAATTTTATTTGGTGTTTAGATGAATACCCCAAATGAAAAGAGTCTTAAAGGAAGTGAAGGAGGTGAAAAAGATAACAAAGGTGGTAGAGTTAATTGGTCCAAAGAATTAATAGACCTCCTTTGTGATCTTTGTATCGAATATGCTGAAAAGAGTAGGGGAAAAAGTGGAGCTGTCATAGGTCAAAGATTAGCTTGGAAAAAGGTGGAATCCGAGTTTAACAAAAGAACTAGTTTGTCATGGGATAAAAATAAATTAAAAAACAAAGTGGATTGGATGAGAACGAGGTGGAGTTTGTGGAAACAGCTGAAAGGCAAGGAGACTGGATTAGGCTGGGATCATATAAAAGGAACAATTGATGCTACTGATGAATGGTGGGCTTTGAAAATTAAGGTTGGTTTACTTTAAGTTTTTTTTTTTTTTTATTTACTTCTCATCTTATGAAAAGTGTAAATCTTAGTTATATATTTTCACGTGTTACGTTTATAGGAAAACTCTAAGTATGAAGTGTTTCGAGAAGAAGGGGTCGAGACAGAACTTGAGTGTAAAATGGATCAGATTTTTGCTATTTCTGCCCAAGGAAAGCTCAAATATACTCCAGTATCAACTCGACAACAAACACATGTGTTGCAAGAAGTCGAAGATGTGTATGTTCCTTCTCCATTGCATGAGAGCGGCACTGATAATTATGGTGGTGACAACTGTGCAGTGGATGAATCATGGGATGAGGTATGGAGAGAGATTAGCCCGTCTCGTACATCTACCCCTATCCTGTCTCCTGGTGACATACAAGTTGAAGCGAATGATGGGAGAAAGGGTAAGAGGTCTTTAGCTGGGGACTTATCACAGAGTAGTAAGGCTGCAAGGACCAACTCAGGTAAGAGAGCAGGGGCTCAAGCAATTCAAGAAATGCTTGGAGGACTGATGCAAACAATTTCAGAAAGAAATCATTCAACGAAGGAAATTACCAATTCAATGAAGAATATGATGAGTTTGAACATGGATACAGTGAAGTCAATGAAGGAAAAGTCTAACTATGACCTTGGGGATGCTATGGCAAAACTATGTACTCTTTCAGATTTGACGGCCACTTCGCCAGAATTTTTCTTTGCTTGCGAGATGTTCGAAGATCCCCAAAAAAGAATTATTTTCTTTGGATTGCCTGATGATAACAGTAGGGTTGAATACATTAAGTACATGTATAATAAGGAGCATAAGAAAACATATAGTTAAGTTTATTATTTCTTTACTTTTTGATTGGATGATCTTGAATGATGTGTTCTTTTTTATTTTCTGGACATAGTTTTTAGGTTGTATGATAATGTTGGATGTTTGTCTATTGATGGTTTATTTTGGTTTTTCTACTTGCTACAATTAACTTTGTTAATAAATGAAGCTACTTTTCTAGAATTGAAATATTTTTCTTATTCTGATTTTTGCAGGCATGGAAAGTAATGACGTACAAATTAAGCAATTCCTTCTACATGAACAACAATATATTCAGTACTTAGAGTACTTGAAAGAAGAAGATGACTTTTGGGATGTGATGACTTGTGCTACAGGTTATACATGTTGGTACTTTTTGAATCATATATACAAGGAACCATGCATGACATCATTTTTAACAGGAGAAAGATGGATAAATGAATTATTGAACGGCCATGAAAAACGATGTTTTAATGCCCTTAGAATGAACCAGAACACATTTCGCCAGTTATGTTTAGATTTAGAGAATAAGTATGGTCTAAGACCATCAAGTCGGATGTCAGTTTTAGAGAAAGTGGGGTTATTTGTATATGTACTTAGTAAGGGTGCTTCTAATAGAGATACTCAAGAGCGCTTTCAGCATTCTGGTGAAACCGTGAGTAGAATTCTCAAACAAGTTTTAGATTCTATGGATAACTTATCAAGAGATATACTTGTACCAAGAGATCCCGAGTTCAAGGATATTCCAACACATATTTCCAATGATGAGAGATATATGCCACATTTTAAGGTAACTTGTTACTTTCTCACTTTTTTTTTTTCTATTGAAGATGATGATAATATAATTTTATTATGTCATATTAGGATTGTATTGGAGCTATTGATGGTACACATATTGCGATAACCGTACCTGAAGAGGATCAAATTCGTTACAGGGGAAGAAAAGGGATACCTACTACAAATGTTCTAGCAGTATGTGACTTCGATTTGTTGTTCACATATGTTTTAACAGGATGGGAGGGATCAGCACATGATTCTCGTATTTTCCTTGATACGATTAGTAATCCAAATCTCAATTTTCCAAAACCTCCATCAGGTATCTTGTACTTACATTTATATGCATTGTTGCACACATACTCACATGTCTTAGATATCATTTTAATTCTAGCATAACTTGTGTTCGTTTAGGTAAATATTATTTGGTAGACAAAGGCTACCCAGAAAGAGAAGGTTATTTAACGCCTTACACTAAGACAAGATATCATCAATCTGAGTTTCGTAGTTCAAATCCGAGGGGATCTCAAGAAGTTTTTAATCGGGCTCATTCATCTTTAAGAAGTTGTATTGAAAGGGCTTTTGGTGTTCTTAAGGCTCGATGGAAGATATTGCATAAAATGCCGAGTTATTCATTAACGGATCAAAATAGAATCATTTGTTCATGTTTTGCACTTCACAATTATATTAGAAGAAGCACAATTGGTGATCCGGGCTTTGGAGTTATTGATGCGAATCCTGAATTCATACCTTCTGATGTTTTCCAAGATGTTGAAAATAATTCTGTACAAGGTGATGCGGAAATGAGGACTCGAGAGATGGCAAATGTTCGTAATAATATAGCTTCAAGTTTGATGGCATCTAGACGTCGTTCTTAAACCATTAGTTTTTTTTTCTTTTATTTTATTTTTGTTTTTTAATTGTAATAACCGGTATTGCAATTGACTCACTTTTGTATTTTTAATTCGTGATGACTTGTTATTGGTTGCTTATATGACGTGAACTTATCTACTCAATTTTAAAAATATTTTTTTTTATTATTATTTATATTTTTATTATATTTAAATTACTTTAATAAATATTTAAAATATTAATTAATTTTATTTCCTAAATAATTATAAGTTCAACATCAATTAGAATGGTAAAAAGTATGATGTCCTTATAAGTCATTTTACATGTTAACAGCTAATTAAAATAGTTAATTTTACCAAACACTTTTTTACAAACCACTAACACAATCAGCTGGTCAAAACAGCTAATACAATCCGCTGGTCAAAACAGTTAATGCAATCCGCTAATAGCTAACAGCTAACAGCTGATTACCAAACAGGGCCAATATCTATTTTCTCAATCTGTGTTCAAAAACCTCTAATAAACTTCTACTAACTTGTAAAGAGTACTATGAAGTAAATGTGTTATCAGCTTCTATACAAGCCTACAATCCATAGGCTTTATTAAGTTCAGGCTTCTGTTTCCCCATTCTTGCAAATGCACAAGAAGTTCCTATTACAATATGCAATAATTTCAACTCAAACAACACAAATATAAATTATAACACAAAAAACAACATAAAACGTTTATAAACGTTCTTCTAACATCTTCGAACACTTGTGGCAGTGATTCAATCCCATGATTATAATCAACATTTGATTACTGTTTTTGACTTTGAAATGAGAGGTTGAGATTGCAAGAAATTATCTGCACGAGCATACTCGAGTGCACTTATGGCGATATTAATCTCAGCCATTAGTGTCTCGGGATCTTTCAATATATTTCTCACATCTTCGAACACATTCCACCAAACCTTCCCTACTTCACTACTCATACTTTGTATGTAGTTTGTACACTTTTGAGGCAAAGTTAATAGTCAAAAGATCAAGATTTTGTTGACCAATACTCGAAGCCAGCTAGAAATGATCTTTGAGAATTAGGACAATAAGCTAATGTAGTTTCCTTGTCTCCATATCCTGTAAAATTAGTTGNTATATATTCTAAAAATTCACTATAACTCAGAAAAAAAGGAAGAAATCTTGCAAAATTGAGAAAAAAAAATTACAATTAACACCCTCAAGCACGTGTATGTATTTCAGAAATAATTCATATAGCTTATATCGATTAAGTTGAGATTACCACCAGACTTGTCAATTAACCATCCATTACAAGTATAGGAAACACAATGAAACAGAGTTGCTAGGTATTTTATCAGCAAAAAGCATTTAAAGAAGAGGATTTAAGAATTAGATTGATGTTTTAAATGGAAATGTTTTGTGAAATTACTAGAGTTAGTTTGATTGTAAAATTTGGTTTGCAAAAGTAGATTGAAATTGTATTACTAACCTTTGAAAAGAAAGATGATACGGATTTAAGAATTAGATTGATGTTTTAAATGGAAATGTTTTGTGAAATTACTAGAGTTAGTTTGATTGTAAAATTTGGTTTGCAAAAGTAGATTGAAATTGTATTACTAACCTTTGAAAAGAAAGATGATACTCTGATTTCTCAGATTGTAGTGCTAGCTGTGCTCTTCAGTTTTCTCTTATCAATAATATACTCTCTATTTTCTCTTCATTCGTCTAGTTTCAGCTTTTCTTTTATTCTTTTCATTAAATTTGAGAATAAAATAAGTGAAGGTGGAGTTTGGTTGGTTGGCCCTTGATTATTGAATGGTTGGTATGTGACTAAGTATTTGGAGCATTATATTTGGCACAAACTCAAGGCAGGTACGGATGTGACGTTTGAATTATAACTCGCAATCACATATTCATACTACACAATATATTATTTAAGGTATGAGGACCACAGATATTATGTGTTTAGATAAAATTGTACATATCTGTATTGCTGAAAAACATTTTTTATTAAAGTAGAACTAAAAATTAATTGTCTACTTGCATGAAAATAAACCTGGAAATCATTATTTTTATTTTTAAATTTTATATTATAGAAATACATTGACATTCATTTACAGAGTATCTATGAAGCCTCGTATTTGTCATGAGCAGAGGTGTAAAGAGCCAAACTCGAGCCCTTGACAAGTCAGTAATCGAGCTCATGCTCGAGTTGTTTATCAATATTCACGAACCAAACTCGATCTTTAACTAGCAAAATTATAGACCTTATATATATATATATATATATATATATATATATATATATCTTTTTGAGTCTTATTAAGTTGAGTCAGACTCGAGCCTTAACGAGTCAAGATCACGAGCAGTTCGTTTCATTTAACTGCTCTAGTCATGAGTGAAGACTTCATAATGGATCGTCAAACCAATAATCTCACATAATTAAATTTAACAATATGTAGAGTTCCCCTCCACTATTATTTAATGGATAATCTATTTCTCCTTCAATACAGTGTTTCGAATTTTGAAGAACTGTAATTTTTCAACAAATGTGCATATTTATAAATTGAACAACAAAATAAAAGCATCAAATTTCATAATGTAAGTGTTTAGACCCCCTAATGATTAGAACAGATCAACTCATATAAGAATTTGTAGTTCCTTAATAATATTAATAATAATAATAATTGAAAAAAAAAAAATGTCATGGTTACATCCATATAACAATAAGCTGATTTCATGTCCTTGACCTATTTTTCAACAATCAAAATGGTACTGGCTCTTTTTCCAGATTAGATTAGATAGCCAACAGCACCAAGCTAACTATTTGGTATGTAAATACTAAATAGTAATACAAAAACCAAAAACATCATTAAAACCTGCAGATACAATATGTAAGCATGTAGTAATCAGTTTGGGGCACGACAAACTTATCTTGTGATATCACGCCAAAAATCTCCGTGTAAATTTTCCAGCATTTGCATCCGTCAACTTGTTAGAGCCGAAAAAAAAAACTCAATCACACACTTACAACGCCAGCAGCCCACGGGACAATAACTGGTGCATTTCTGTGCGCGTTTCTATACCATTCTGGATATGTGTCCTTAAAGTTCAATTTTGGTTTTTCAGACTGCAACAGGGCAATAAATATCAAGAACACGCTTGAGTTCGGGAATATTATTTTTTAAAAAATAATAACAAATTACAGCTTCAAACTTCAGAAACGATCCTCGAGCTTAAACAAGAACTTACGGTTATATCTCTCAAAAAGTACAAATTCCCCATTTTATCTATCAAAAGGTGCTACTTGAAAATAAAAAGAAATATCAAGAATAATTGTAACAAGGAAACTTGTTCCCTATTATACTTTTTCTTTGTGAATATACTTATCATCAAGGCACCTTTTGTTATATCATGGATTTTGTTATTTTTCTTACTTTAAATATATAATCTGCAAATAAATATGGAGGAAGATGAATGTTGGAAAAAAAAAAAAACAAAAAGGATGCAAACTTACATATTTTAGCCAGCACTCTTGATTTTTATGTTCATAAATATCTGGAGAGTAGCATCCAGTTTCAGACGGGCAATACACCCAAATATTGCATTTCATCTGACCGGGCTTGGCCCGTCGGGCTTGATCCAAACACGCCATACAGCAGTCATAAGCAGACTCTTTAGGGTGGGTAAGGCCCCATCTCACAGCAGCCCCATCATAATCTGTGTGAAGTTCCGCATGGCATTCTGGAGGTAGCTTTCTGCCTGGTAGGACTTCCTCTTCTGGGACATGGAATAAATCTCAAAATCCAAGACGAACAAATTTAATTTACTAATTCGTAAAATATAAGGAAATAATAAGGTCACTGGTTAAACTTAAATCCAACAAGTGAGGAGAGTGCTAAACATAACAAATCTTAATCAAGGATAGTTGCAAAAAGATAGTCTTGAGAAATAATCCAACAGAAAGCAGCATATATTTTTAAAAATATACAAATACCACCCTCCCACATCTAATACATATATTATTATACAACGTGCATCGTTAACATGTATGCAATTGTTTAAGAAAACTTAAACCTTCATGGTGGGTGTTTGAAATACCTCAAGAGGATAAATGTAGTTTCTAAATAAATAAATACCTCAAAAGGATAATCATAATTTTTAGGAGATGATTGATTTTAACTGTCGGTAACAAGTGAAAAATCAGGGGTTGGTTTTTAATTATTGCAATCATTTTAAGCAATAAATGCTAACTGATTACCAAACTCATCTTCACCCTCAGGTTTGTCGTCATGTTCCTTGTGAATAATACTAACTGGTATCCAGAGACCAATTAATTCTAAGAACTCATTCCAATCAGAACTCAAAGCTCTAGCAACAACACCTGCAAACAAAATATAGAGAATTCAATTGAATAAACCATAGCATCTGATATATTGAAAAAGAAGTTGACTGTATTTATCTAAAGAATAACGGTCATACCGGCTTCCTGTGGAAAAATTGTTGAATTAATGGGTTTCCCACGAATAAGCTTCCTAGCTTCTTTTAATTTTAATCTGCGCCAGGACTCAACTGCCTCTGTTCAACAGGTGAAGCATCGTTTACAGTGCAAATTAGCATAATAGGTATTCGCAGGAGATGAAAGACTTGCTACTTAAATGCTTATTTAAGTATTTAAATGCTTATTCTTATGACTGCTAATGTTCTTTTCCCAAATCATCCAATTTTCATCCTCGCCTACTCAAGATGCATTCAATGTATGAGGCAACATTCCAATATATCTCGATACAGTCTAAGTCGCCTTCTAAATGCAGCAACTCAGATTCCTCTGGAAATATCTCAACCCTTCTTAAATGTGTCTCCATGCACTTCTTAACAAGTCGTGTGATATAACATCGATTTTTTTGGAAGAAACCCATGGATAAAACATCAATTATTTGATAAGTATCCCAAAATGGACTTCTTTTATCCATTTCATTTTTCCACAATTAATGGAAGTTATCTTTGTTTGAAAAGAAAATTATACACCATAAAGAAAGTTTACCTCCCGACTCATCTTATGTAAAGCTCAGAGACCCAACCCTCCAAGTTGTCCCATATATATCTAGGGCCTCAATAGCAAAGCCCAGCAACTCAGTTTTTACTAAACAGGACAAAAGGCTAATGAGACTTAATATTAAAATAATAACTTTAGGAACCTCGTTGCTCTGTGGCATTTGCAGCAGCATCCAAGCTCCTCAACCTTTCGAGAATCTCGTCCGTCAACTTCCATTTCAAATTTTGCGGCAATTCCAAAACCCTTTCTTCATTCATTAATCTTTTCTTTAGTTGTGCCACCTTCAACAGACAATGAGTTACACCATCAACTAGTGACAAGATGCCACAGCCATCAAGAACATATTCACACACAGTATAAATTAACTGAATTAATAAACATGTCAAAAGGGGCTACTTCTCACCAGCTTGATAAGTTCCTTTGGTTCTGATGCTTGTCGTACTTCATTTGCTTCTTCCATTTTTTTAATCTGCTTTGTTGTGTACTCAAATGCTGTCCAAAGTAGAATAGCTAGGTAAATTGTACTAATGTCGAAGAAAACAGGTTTCTTAACAGAATTCAAAATAGAATGAAAAATCTAAACGTGTATACTACAGATATTAACTAGCTACCAAAGATCTGGTTTTTACATTCTATTGGAAAAACAGAGCAATGCACACATTTACACTCCACGAAATAACAAATGTGCCAAAATGGTCGCTGTATTTAACAAATCAATCAAGCAACAAGGCTAATAGAAGCAAGAATAACATTGAATCCTAAACATCAAACTCCAGGTTCCCTAACAAAGACCCAGAATTTCCTTCCAAAACAACAAATCCAGCAGAAACGAAACCAGAAAACACGCAAAACTCCCATATGGGNAAAAAAAAAAAAAATGTCAATAACAAAGTGCAATCAGAAGACCGGAAAGGATGGAACAAGCTCTTACAGGTTTGAGAATCACTCAAGGAATACGTGTAGATCGAAGTGTAGAGAGAGTGGAACACAAATAGAGCAACAACAATGTTGATGGAACAAACAACTATGATTGTCCTCTTGTATGAAAACCTTCCGTTATGCACCCACTCCCCTCTCGCCATCGCCCAGTCTCTCTCGCACTCCTCCCCTTCTTCAGCTTCTTCTCCATTCCATACTTTCTCTCTCTAGAATCTGGGAAGCGGGATTCTTCTTCCGGAGATTTTTGTGCCCCGGCTGCAAATTGATCGAAAACGCTGATCGATCGAATGGCAATGGCACTTTCTTTTAGCAGGTTTAGGATTGATCGGATGAAGAATGTTTACAGTGAGGAAGGAGACCAATCAGAAGAGAATATTATTGTACTTTTTTCTCCATTTTTATTGTTTGGAGTTGTTTTGCTAATTTTGCTCCAATTTCGAATTTAGGTATTCAGTCACTGAGTAATCATAATGTGATGTTTTTTGTGAAGAATAATTGGGGAAAGATATGGTGGGAATCTCTAACGTGCGCGGAGGGGAGGCCCACTTTGCACTAACGTGTGCCAATGGTTGTTCCTTACTTTATTACTATGCCTTAATTAGGGACGGTGTCCACTTTAAAGGTAATGTTTGATTTTAAAATGTGCATAAATCTCTCTTATAATCTAATCTATACTTAAAGGGGATACTATTTACCAAATTAAGTAGACAGAAAAGTCAACAGTATTTATTGCATTACTATTTCCGTATTATGCTATATAAAAGGATATTCTATTTACTACATTTACTATCCAGAAAAGTCAACTGCATTAAATGTCATTACTATTTTGGTATTATAATATTTTATTTATTTAATTAATTTATTTATTTGTTTTATTTTAAAAAAGTAAGTATAATAAAAAAAATTAATAATAAAAAAATCAAATACCAAATAAAAATATACACTTTGACTTATTTGATTATATTTGGTATTTGATTATACCAAATATATTCCTATTTAGTATATACATTAAATACTTACCAAAGTATTTATTTGTTTTATTTGTCAAAGTTAAGTATAGATTTGTTTATATTATCAAATCATAAAAAAATATTAAATCCATATTGTAAAAAAAAAAAATCATATAATTTTATAACAATTCTAATACACTATTTAACAATATTTTTTTTATTATATAATAAAATAATAATTAAATATTATATGGTGAACAACAATAAGTAAAACTGTTACTTTCTCTTATATCAAGGGATAAATTTATATGCTAAAATTAAATTTTTATTAGTATAAATGTTTTAGTGAGATAATATATTAATTATTTTACAAGCTAGCCCTAACATGCTCATATTTAATGTTTTAAAAGATGTAGAAAAAAAACTTATAATAACTCTATTGTTTTTTAGACTTAAACGTTGATTAAAAGAGGTAAAAATTCCTAATTTTTTAGACTTAAACGTTGATTAACACCATAGATTGAGAGTTTATATTTAGTAAAATTCCTAATTGTAATAAAAAAATTAATTTTTGCTATATTTTAGAATATCTTTAAATTCATTATAAAAAAAAAAAAAAAAAAAAATACAATGAAAAAAGCAAGTCAGCTATATATCGATTTGTTGTACTCCTCAAATCACATTCACAATTTGGCTACAAGGAAAGGAAACTCATTGATTAAAATATTATTTTGTCAGTAGTCTTAATGTACAAGAGACTTTAAGACTCCACTTGAATATTATAAAACTTTTATTGAACATTGTACACTTTCTTGCGTATTATGAACTTTTATTGAATATTGCATCTTATAATATAATATTCTCCAAATAAATATATATCGTGTTTTGCACGTACTATATATAGCCCGTACATTTTTCTTTATTCGTGTATATAATTATAAGTCTGCATAAATAGCCTTAAAATTGTGCACCCCGTGCATCGCATGGGCTCTGTACTAGTGTTTGATTTAAGAGTACTCCCATACTCAAATGTTGTTGTGGTAAATTACATTTCACATAAATACATTTTATAATATCTCAACTTTTCATTCTTTAATGTATAATGTGATCACAAATATTGTGATGATGTGGACACAATTAATGTCTACAATGTAGAGAAGAATGCGGTTCATCAACATTCTCCTCCACGCTCTAGCTTTCCAATGAAAAGAAGAGAGAGAATTATTTTTACCATTTTCAAACTATTTAATTATTTAATTATTTTTTAATTCATATTAAAATTTTAATATTTGGCAAGTAGATAATAATTTAATTAGACTACATTGTGCACGAAAGATGATTTTTTAATTTAATAGTTGTGAACTCAACATTTTTCCTGCATGGTTCACAATCTATTTAATTTTTTGACATTTGTCAAAATTTATCTTATATCTTATAACAATATTAGAGCATTGATGATGCTCTAAAATCATGTGATGTGTATAAATCTCTCTTGGAGCATCTTCAATGTTTGATTTTAAAATCAGTGCATCTCCAATGTTCAATATAGTTGTAGTAACTTACATTCTCCATTAAAAAATTTAGTAATTTCTTCATTTTTAATCCTCAAAGAAACAATATTATCACAAATGTAGTGATGAGGTGGACATACTTAATTTATACAATGTAGAGAATAATGCGGTTCATCCACAATCACTTTCACATTCTAGTCAACCAATATAGAGAGGAGAGAGAAATATTATTACCATTTTCATAATATATAATTATTTAATTTTCTTTTCTTCTTATTTATAAATTTTTTATTTTAGTTAAGTGGACAATATTGTGTTTGATTATATTGTGCATTGGAGATAATTTTTTAAATTTAAAGTTGTGAACTTAACAATTATTTTATGTGGTTCACAACTCATCGAGTTAATTGTTATTTGTCAAAATTTATATAATAACAACATTTATGCATTGAGATGTTTTTGTATATAACAAAAAGTTAGAGCCTTGAGAGTTTGACATGTGTCCCTATGTATTTTTACCAAATTGTCCTCGCTTTTTTTAAAAAAAATTATTTCCTTATCCGAGAATTTAAAAAGATGACAGTTTGCTATTACTTTCGGAGTTAAGAAAGCAACGAATAAAGCAAGAATTAGCCTCGAAATTCCCAAATACGTCTGATCTCTAATCAAGGATGCTCCGGCGAATAATTATCCCAGTGTTGGGCTATCTATTCGCGGCGTATCCTCCTTCATGTTCTTCTTAAGTTATATGTCTACATGTATTTCTTATTTGTGCAAATTTATTTTATGGCGTGGGTGGACAGAGTTGATGTTTTCGATTGTGGAATGTGTTATGTTGTATCATCCGCAATTATTTTTTTTAATTTATTATTTTGCATATGGTCATGTTTGATTTGTGTTATAAGTTCTTTTTTTTTTTATTTGGTGCCTCTAAATAAATCACATTTTAGTGTTATCTGTAGATGCTGTAATATATCTAGAATTGATTTATAGATTGGATATTTATTTCTCTTGTTGTTGTTTTCTTATTTTCAGGTTCGCAGTTGAGCTTCATCTGCCATATGCTTTACAACTTTGTTGTTGTGTGGTTTTGTGGAGCTTTTATAAACTTCTAGTTTTGGTAAGTTTTTTACCATTAATGTTTTATTTGTCATCAAAACTTGTTGTGACTCTCAAATTAGTCTAATGCTCATGTTTGAATTTTTCCACAATGGGGTAGGAGCTGCTCGTCCTCGAGGATAATGTCTGAAGATACTTGGGTGTTGTTCCATTCTATGACTCGGAGTTCAAAGTCGGCAGAATGAGGTGGGAGAGGCAATCGACAGGTGAAGGTTTCCAACCACGTCGGATCAATGAGTAGAGGAGACGAAGGTCAAACAAAAAAAATGTTGGGTTTTCCACTTGGGCACATTGGAAAAAATATTGTTAATAAAATGTGCTCCATTACGGGTTTGAAGATAATGAGTTCCTTTTTGGACCTTGGCGATGAAACAGTGGTAGAAAAAGTCAAGGTCGATAAAGCATAGTCTATGATAAGAGAGTATGGCGTAGACGACCAGTTGGCGAATGGAATTGGGCGAAAGTTGATTTATAGGGATCCCAAATACATTGCAAAGGCCGAGAAGAGCAGGGCTGAGGGGAAACCTAAGTCCTAGATCGATTTGATCCTAGAAAAAGGTCAAACAGCCAGTCGGCGGGTGATCGAAGGAATCCAACGGTCGAGGTGACACATAACGCCAATCTGCAGGTAAGCAACACTGGGCAAAGAAGCTATCGAGCAATCCATCCATGGCAATAAGGAAGGTACACGATCTTTTAGCGAGAGTGACCATGTTCTAGGCAGTAGTGTGTGTAACCCCAAAAATAGGTACACCGATGGAAATAGTTGGTCGATTGGGCAGGATGGTGAGGGGGGAGTGACTGCCTCATCCTCATTTTCAGTCTCATCGGGAAGTGTGAGGGGACGACGAGGAGGACGAAAGGTGACCGAGGGAGAAGCAAGTCGAGAAGAGGATGGAACGATTTTAGTCTCCACAGAGGGGGAGGTTGAAGTGGTAAATTGAGGATTATGGGTCGTAGAAGATGATGGAGAGCTCAAATCACAACCGGGGATTCAGTCGGCCTCATTAGAGGTGGAAAAATCTGAAAAATGGATAAAAAATAAAGCTTAAAAAGGAGATAAATAAAAAGGATGGAAGAAATCAGCGGAAAACGGAGGAGAGAGAGGGTATGTTCGAGAGGGGATGAAGGGTGCAAATCGAAGAAAAGTTAAATAAAATCCAAGCATGCAAACCTTAACAAAAGCGATAATACTTATTGATCATGATGATTGAATTGATGAGAAAGTGAGAATTCCAGTTGTCGACGGTGGTGCATCGGCAAAAATTCTAGGCATAAGATGAGTTTGCGAAGAACACAGTAGGAATGCAGAAGATATAAGGCAAAAATCGTGCAAAAATGCAAAATCCTACAAAATTCGGCTAAGGCACCTTTTTATAGGCGGAAGGAAACTGGAGATGAGAAAGTCAATCAATGTTGATCGTAGGATCGGGATTGGTTTAATGATCCAGATTGAAAGCAGTAGGTGAAAAGACTGGTCAACCAAAGCCATGGGATTAAAGTGGAAATAAGTGGATGAGATTAAGTTGGCATTAATGGGGTGCGCTGCACAAGGGTCACACAGATTGCAAAGCATCAGAAGATGAGATGCTTGAGATGAACTGAGCGCGTAGTGACAAGAGGGTTGGACATGATAGACGCAGACGCGTGGCAATCATTTGAAATTCAAATATTTTTAAATGAAAAAAACCAGAAAAAGATTGAGTAAATGCATAGTAATGACCTAAGAGCCGAAAGAAAGGTTGAAAAATAAAGAAAAAAGCAATAATGCCAGAATCAAAGAGCAACCAAATTCACTATTGGATAAAGTCTTCTTAACTCGACCAGAGTGGGGGTGGCCAAATGATATGGGATAACCATACTAGGTCGACTAGACCGAGG